CTTATTTATATAGATGGATGCAATTACTCAGTAAAAGCTGCCATTCAATATAAGAAGGTGTGCATATAGCTTAGTACACCTCAGTGTTAGTTGTCCTCAGTATGAAGAGGCTTCAGTTTGAGAGAGGCCTCGTTTTAAGTTATACATCAGTGTGAGGTAAACCTTCATGTTAGTAGGCCTAAGTGTGTGAAAGGGCTGGTGTGAGAGGCTTCGATGTGAGAAGCCCTTGGTTGAAGGCCTCTTGTGTAAAGCTCCAGTGTGACAGCTGCTGTGCATAAAAGGCTACTGTGTGAAGCTCCTGTGTAAGTTTAGTGTGAGAAGAGGCTCTGTGAGAGCAAAGCTGTTTATCTACATGAGAAAGCAGCCCAGCGTGGAAGCAAAGAAGGAACTATAAAGAACTTTATTTGTGTTATGGAAATCTTGTTCTTATAAATAGTGCAACCATATCATTTTGCTATAAAGAAAAGCCTCCTAAGGAAGATATAACATTGGTCTGTGTGTTTTTGTTCTTTTTATCACTTGTGGCTACAGGTACTGGGTCACGCTGCTGCTAATAAGTTACTCTGCTGTGTATTTATGGGGAGGGTTTTTTGTTAATAAGCCCACTTGCCCAACACACATTACTCATTGATCTCCTATCTGGGCAACACCAGGTTTCCCTCTTTACCTGATTGAGGTATTTGCCCGCATAGAAGGTCTGGTAGCCTTGCTTCTGCAAATAAACTGGGAAGGTGTAGGGCTCCTGAAACTTCTGCCAGACCAGGCTGCTGCAGTTGCCCTCCAAGGAGTTGTTCCTCACCAGGTGATTGTGGGGGTAGCAGCCGGTCAGGATGCTGCTGCGACTTGGGCAGCACAGCGGCGTCACTGCAAACTGAAAGCCAAGAAGTTGGTATAGAACAGGGATCTTCAAACTAAGGCCCGCGGGCCGAATACCGCCCTCCAAGGCCATTTGCTCAGCCCTCCCTCAGGGTCAACCTAAGTCCGAAACGACTTGAAAACACACAACAACAATCGTATTTCATCAGCCAAAAATTGGCCCATACTTCCCATTGAAATACTAACGAGTTTATATTTGCTAAAATTGTTCTTCATTTTAATTATTGTATTATATATAAGGGGGGGTTTTTTGAACTACAAATAAAATATGTGCAGTCTGCATAAGAATCCATTCATGTTTTTTTCAAATTATAATCCGGCCCTCCAACAGTTTGAGGGATTGTGACCTGGCCCTCTGTTTAAAAAGTTTGAGGATCCCTGGTATAGAGAAAGAGCTGACCCACCACATTTGGGGGCTTGACTTTTGCAGATTATGGTTATTCACTGTGAATTTAGTTATTCAGAGTGCTGAGAAATGATGACGACTCATGAGCAAATTTCAGCCCTCCTTCCAGGTGTTTTGGACTTCAACTCTCCTAATTCCTAACAGCCTAGCAATCTCTAGGTCCTCTTGGCCATTCTGTGCCCCAATAATAATAATAAATAATAATAAACTTTATTTATACCCCGCCACCATCTCCCCCAACGGGGACTCGGAGCGGCTTACATGGCGCCAAGCCCAAACAACAAATTACAATACAAAAATACAAATTGCAGTAAAATAAACAACATAACAATAAAGTATAAAACATCAAAGCATATAAAACAATATACACAAAACATAGAAACCAAACATAATGGCATGCAGAGGGCTAACTGAATGTCTTTCCACCGAAGTAATCTCTCTTCCAACCCCAAAGGCTGTACGGGGAGACATTTCTGTTGGAAATATTAAATATTAACTAGGTATTTTTAATTATAAAAATGTGAGTCAAGCACAGAAAGGATTAAATGGATACAATCACTCAGCAGTTTATATAAGCAGGTGTGCCTGTAGCTTAGTAGGCCTCTGTGTTAGTTTGCATCAGTGAAACAAAAGTCTCAGTCTGTGAGAGAAGCCTGTGTGTGAGGTAAGCCTCAGTGGGAGAAAGCCTCATGTGTGAAGCTCCAGTTCAATATAAGGATGTGTAGCTTAGTAGGCCTCTGTGTTAGTTTTCCTCAGTGGGAGAAAAGTCTCTGTCTGTGAGAAGACCTATCAGTGTGAGGTAGGCCTTAGTCTGTGAGAGAAGCCTCTATGTGAGGTAGGCCTAAAGTCTGTGAGGTAAGCCTTGGTATGAGAAAGCTTCATGTGTGAAGCTCCAGTGTGAAGGTTGAACTTTGTGTCGTGGAAACCTTGTTCTTGTAAACAGTACAACCCTATTATTTTGCTATAAAGAAAAGTCTCCTATGGCAGAGATAACATTGCTCTGTTCATTGTTTTTATCACTTTGGGCGACTGGTGCTGGGTCACACTGCACTATTAAGTTACTCTGTTGTCCACTCGCCCAAAAAATTCTCCATTTGCCTTCAGACGCATGTCACCTTAGAAGAGATTACAGGGCAGGCTGGGTGCCATGAGAAGGGAATGGTCAAAGGACATAGAAGGCACAGCTGGGAGGACAAGAAAGACTGCTTCTCCTCGAAATTTGGACTGCACCAAAAGGAGTCTAGTGTCTAGAGTAGAGGAAGTTATGGTTCCTCTATATTCTACTCTTGTCAGACCTCTTCACCCGGGAGACTGTGTCCACCACAGTTCAAAAGAGATACTGACAAGCTAGAGAGCAACTAAAATGATCAAAGGTTTGGAAAACATGAACAATCCCTCTGAAGAGTGTCTTAAAGAGCTGGGTCTGTTTAGCCTGCAGAAAAGAAAGTCGAGAGATGTGAGAACCACGTGTAAATATGGAAAAGAATGTAAGGAGGAGGGAACAGGCTTTTTTCTGCTGCCCTAGAAACTAGGACTCAAGAGTAATTGATTCAAATGACAGGAAAGGAGATTCCAACTGCACATTAAGAAGAACTTCCTGAGCGTAAGAAGAGCTGTTCAGCAGTGGAACTCCAAGTGTAGTGGAAGCTCCTTCCACCTTTGGAGGCTTTTAAACAGAGGCTGGTTGGCCATCTGTCAGGGATATTTTGATTGTGCTTTAGTTGTACTAGATGGCCCATGTGGTCTCTTCCGACTCTATTATTCTATGATTCCTCTGCCATCTCTTCCGGTTGCCCAACTTTGCCTTCCCATTGCTACCCCAGTAGTTTGCAAGCACTGGCTGCCAAAATGACCTCATGTGTTATTCTGTAGTGTATCTCGCCAAGTATCAAGGATGCAAGGATGGCTAGATTGGCTTGGGAAATATGGCGAGGTTTCCTCCATAGAATTCAACTCTGTCAAGTAGTCCTTAATGGCATTTACCAGGAAAGCTTACCGCATTGGCAAACGTGGCCCCCAACTGGCCAATCAGCAGCTGCGTCTTTTTCAGGGGTGTCTGAAAATGGAATGGAATAAATAGTCACATTGGGCCACAATCCTGAAAACCTTAACCAACTCTTCACCCGCTGTGCTACTGAAGGCTCCATATATATATGCACTAGCTATGGCCCCCAGAAAACAGAAATTCCAGACATGAAACAATGTAGGCTACGGAACACCTCCTCACAAAGGTTTCCTGTAGGGAGGAAGAAGCCAGGCTTTTCGGCTGCATGGCTTTTTAAAAGTTATCAAGGTGGGCAATGTATCTGTATATAGAATCATAGAGTTGGGAGAGACCTCATGGGCCATCCAGTCCAACCCTCTTCTGCCAAGAAGCAGGAAAAATGCATTCAAAGCACCCCTGACAGATGGCCATCCAGCCTCTGTTTAAAAGCTTCCAAAAAGGAGCCTCCACCACACTCCGGGGCAGAGAGTTCCACTGCTGAACAGCTCTCACAGTCAGGAAGTTCTTCTTAATGTTCAGCTTGAAGCCATTGTTCTGCGTCCTAGTCTCCAGGGAAGCAGAAAACAAGCTTGCTCCATCCTCCCTATGACTTCCTGTCACATACATATATGTTTACATGTGTGTGCATGTGTATATGTGTGTGTATGAGTATATTTGTGTGTGCTTGTGTATATGTATGTATGTGTATGTATGTATGCGTGCATGTGTATATGAATATGTGTTATGTATGTGTGTATATGGATTTATCTATATAAATAAAAATGTAAAGTTTGTTTGTGGTATTCACAGAACTCAAAAACCACTGGGGGAATTGACACCAAATTTGGACACAAGACACCTAACAACACAATTTATGTCCTTCACTCAAATAATAATAATAATAATTAACCGGAAAGAACTTACCCCCCACAAAGCTCAATGCCTATACAGAGCCAGTGTGCCTATACAGAGCCATGAGGGAAGAGGGGGGGAAAACCAACCGCACAGAGAGAGAGAGAGGGGGGGGGGCATGAGAGAGGGTGGCTGGTCTATCCCTCTGGCTACCCCGTCTCTCTTCCGAAAGGGTTCAGAGAGAGGGAGGGCGGGAAGGAGGGACAGAGAGAGAGAGGCTGCCTCCAGGCAACAACAGCCAGGCTACCTCTAGACAAATACCTTCAATAGCAGGTATAGGCAAACTTCAGCCTTCCAGGTGTTTTGGACTCCAACTCCCACAATTCCTAACAGCCTACCGGCTGTTAGGAATTGTGGGAGTTGGAGTCCAAAACACCTGGAGGGCTGAAGTTTGCCCATGCCTGCTCTATATAGATACCTACCAGTTAAAGCAGTATCAAAGTGCATGAGTTCCCCAGTGTAGACGCAGCCCACTCACCATGCCTCCCAGCTGGAGGTCCTGATCATCGGCGAGGATGAGGAGGATGTTGTCCCTGCCCTTGGCTCTTCCTGCTGCTGACCCCAGGAGCCAGGCGGCCAGCAAGAGCCAGGGCCAAGGGCCCCACGCCCCAAGCTTGGTGGGGCTCCCCATGGGCTCCTGTCCGGCAGAAGGAGGCGGAGAAGCAGCCAGGCTTCCAGGAAGAGCCCTTTTGCCTCCCTTGGGTCATATGATGCTTTGCAAACTCCACCTGCTGGCCTTGACCCACCCCCTTTTGCTCTGACCTAATGGAAGCCAAGCCTACATCCCCCCCTTCCCTCCCCCAACCTCACTTTGCAAAAGTTGCAAAACACAGGCTTCACTTTCATTTCTGCTGAAGGGGAGAGGGACCCCAGAAGGGGCGGGGCCTCAGCAGAAGCCCCGCCCCCTCATCGCACTTCATCTACATAAGGGGCGGGGCCAGGCAGAGGCCAGTTCCTAAGACCGGTGGAAGGCTGTTGCTGGTAAGTTCCGGAAGGTGGATTCGATTCTCAGGATGGGAAGGCAGGTTTTGCAAGTGACCTGGAATGCAAATGAAGTGTTTTAGGGTGCTTCTACACCAGTGGTTCTCAACCTTCCGAATGCCATGACCCCTTAATACAGTTCCTCATGTTTTGGTGACCCCCAACCATAACATTATTTTCATTGCTACTTCATAACTGTGATTTTGCTATTGTTATGAATTGTAATGTAAATATCTGATATGCAGGATATATTTTCATTCACTGGACCAAATTTGGCACAAAAACTCAATATGCCCCAATGTGAACACTGGTGGGGTTTGGGGAAAACAGACCTTGAAATTTGGAAGTTGTGGTTGCTGAGATTTATAGTTCACCTACAACCTGGTGGGGTTGGGGGGTTGATTTTGTCATTTGGGAGTTGTAGATGCTGAGATTTATAGTTCACCTACAATCAAAGAGCATCCTGAACTCTACCAAGAATGGAAGTGAACCAAATGTGGCACACAGAACTCCCACGACCAACAGAAAATGCTAGAAGGGTTTGGTGGGCATTGGCCTTGACTTTTGGAGTTGTAGTTCACCTACATCCAGAAATCACTGTTTGACTCAAATTATGGTGGATCCAGACCAAACTTAGCATAAGTACTCATTATGCCCAAATGTGAACACTGGTGGAGTTTGGGGAAAATAGACCTTGACCTTTGAGAGTTGTAGTTACTGGGATTTATAGTTCACCTACAATCAAAGAGTATTCTGAACTCCACCAATGATAGAATTGGGCCAAACTTGGCACACAGAACGCCATACTAACAGAAAATACTGTGTTTTTGTAGGTTTTTCCAGGCTATATGGCCATGTTCTAGAGGCATTTTCTCCTGACGTTTCGCCTGCATCTATGGCAAGCATCCTCAGAGGTAGTGAGGTCTGTTGGAACTAGGAAAAGAGGGTTTATATATCTGTGGAATGACCAGGGTGAGACAAAGGACTCTTGTCTGCTGGAGCTAGGTATGAACGTTTCAACTGACCACCTTAATTAGCATTTGATGGCTTGTCAGTGCCTGGGGGAATCTTTTGTTGGGAGGTGATTGGATGTGCCTGATTGTTTACTCTCTGTTGTTTTGCTGTTGTAATTTTAGAGTTTTTTTAAAATATTGGTAGCCAGATTTTGTCCATTTTCATGGTTTCCTCCTTTCTGTTGAAATTGTCCTCACTACCTCTCAGGATGCTTACCATAGCTGCAGGCAAACGTCAGGAGAAAATGCCTCTAGAACTTGGCCATATAGCCCGGAAAAACCAACAACCCAGTGATTCCGGCCATGAAAGCTTTCGACAATACACAGAAAATACTGTGTTTTCTGATGGTCTTTGGTGACCCCTCTTGTCTGTTTGAGGCAGGTGTGAGTGTTGCAATTGGCCACCTTGATTAGTACTTAATGACTGTGTATGTTCAAAGCCTGGCTGGTTGCTCCCTGGGAGAATCCTTTGTACGGAGGTGTTAGCTGGCCCTGATGATTTCCTGTCTGGAATTCTCCTGTTTTTGAGTGAAATACGACCTGAATGTAGCGATTGGCCACCTTGACTAGCATTTAATGGCCTAGCAGTTTTCAAGGACTGGCTGCTTCCTGCCTAGGGGAATTCTTTGTAGGGAGGTGATTAGTTGGCCCTGATTGTTTCTTGTCTGGAATGCCCCTGTTCTTGAGCATTGTTCTTTATTTACTGTTACGAGTTCTTTTAATAAGACCCTGGCACAAGCCAGTCAAGGTGGTCACAGTGTTGATTGGCACACTGGGTGCAGTTCGTAAAGACCTTGGCCTGCACTTAAAAACAATCGGAGCTGACAAAATTACCATCTGTCAGCTGCAAAAGGCCACCCTGCTTAGATTTGCCGATACATCACACATTCCTAGACACTTGGGAAGTGTTCGATGTTTGATTAAATACAAAAGCCAGCATAGTGATCTTGTTTACTGTGTATCAATCTTGTTGTATATCAAATAATAATGATAATAATAATTAATAATAAATGCAAAGAGTCAGGCACAAGTCAGTCAAGGTGGTCCCAGTGGTGATTGGCACACTGGGTGAAGTGCCTAAAGACCTTGGTCTGCACATAATAACAATAATAATAATAGTAATAATAATTGTTATTATTTATTTATTTATTTGACCAGTCATATGGCTATTTCAAAATGCAAGACACTTGGGAAGTTTCCGATGTATGATCGAATACAAAAGCCAGCATAGTGATTTTGTTTGCTGTCTATCAATCTTGTTGTATATCAAATAATAATAATAATAATAAATGCAAAGAGTCAGGCGTAAGTCAGTCAAGTTGGTCCCAGTGGTGATCGGCACACTGGGTGAAGTGCCTAAAGACCTTGGTCTGCACTTCATAATAATAATAATAATAATAATAATAATAATAATTGTTATTATTTATTTATTTGACCAGTCATATGGCTATTTCAAAATACAAGACACTTGGGAAGTTTCCGATGTACGATCGAATATAAAAGCCAGCATAGTGATATTGTTTGTTGTGTACTAATCTTGTTGCGTATCAAATAATAACCATAATAAAACTTTATTTATATGCCATTTTCTCCCACAATGGGGACCCAAAGCAGCTTCTTTCCAGCATGTTAAAAGCACAATATAAAGTGAAACAACGGTCAAATGTATGAACATAAAGCATTGTTAGAAATCAAGACAGAACGTAAATAGAAATTTAAAGTGGTATACATTATTGCACTGTCCAATGTAGTGGAGTCCTGAGAGTTGTAGTTTTCAACGTCTTTAGCCTTCCATGGCTGAATAGGGAGCTGTAGTTTGGTGAAGCACCAGCACTCTGTGTCAGAGAAGGCTAAGGACCTTGGAAAACTACAACTCCCTGGGGGTCATAAATAAGACATTGTTTTACTATGTTTTTGGCAGAGGGAAAAGGAGAGGCATTCCATTCGGGGAAGCCAAAGATGGCCCAGCTTCCGGTGAAGAAAAAACGCCAGCCGCCCGCCAGCCTTCCAGCAAGCCTACAGCATTGTGTGCGTTTCCCTGGAGTGGTCCTCTGCCTGGTAGAGAAGAAGATGGGCCTTAGCCGTAAGGCTTTCCTTGTCTCTTTGGCCCAACGCAAGGGCTTCTGCGTGGAGGAGGCCAGCAGGTAAGCAAGAGCCCAGCCGGGCCATGGCGGATATCAGGCAGAGGACGGAAGCGATACCTTTTGGGCCTGTTAGAGCCAGTGGGCCAAAGCTAGTGTCGTCCTAAGGAGAGTGAATAGGCCGAAGCCTGTTAGAGTTAATGGGCCAAAGCTAGTGTCGTCCTCAGGAGAGTGAGTAGGCCAAAGCCTATTAGAGTTAGTGGGCCAAAGCTAGTGTCGTCCTCAGGAGAGTGAGTAGGCCAAAGCCTGTTAGAGTCAGTGGGCCAAAGCTAGTGTCGTCCTCAGGAGAGTGAGTAGGCCAAAGCCTATTAGAGTTAGTGGGCCAAAGCTAGTGTCGTCCTGAGAAGTGTGAGGTAAACCTCTGTGTGAAGCTTATGTTTAGAGCTCCAGTATAAAGACTGTTGTGTGTAAAATGCTACTGTGTGAAGCTCCTTTGTAACTTTGGTATGAGAGGAGGCTCTGTGAGAGTGAAGCTGTTTTATCTGCATGAGGAAAAAGCCCAGCATGGAAGCAACGAAGGAAGTATAAAGAACTGAATCACAGTGGAATACACGAGACCAAGCATGGTGATTGATGGTGGGCATTCTGTCATCTGCACTTGTGGTCAAGTGATTAGAGTGCAGGACTTGGATTTGGGAAATGAAACTGTGTGCAATGAAATTTCTCTGAGTAACTTTGGGTCAGTCACTGTCACACGGTTGTCATGAGGAGGAAGTGGGAGGAAGAAAACCACATATACTATTCTGGGTCCATTGGAAGAAAGACTTCAGATAGAAACATGGTTACAACATTTTTGTATGTGGTATTTTTTTGCTCCATTGCCTAAAGCTGCAAAACAACACCAACCTGACTTTTCTCACTGCTTGAGTCAGGGTTCAACATAATTCAAACACATTCAGTATATAAAACATTGTTGTTGTTCATTCGTTCAGTCGTCTGCGACTCTTCGTGACCTCATGGACCAGCTCACGCCAGAGCTCCCTGTCGGCCGTCACCACCCCGGCTCCTTCAAGGTCAGTCCAGTCATATAAAACATAAGACTGCTGAAATGAAGTTAACTATAAGAGTCATACTAGAGATCCTAGGGAAGGCATGAGCAAAGTTTGGCCCTCCAGGTGTTTTGGACTTCAACTTCCACAATTCCTAACAGCCTACCGGCTGTTAGGAATTGTGGAAGTTGAAGTCCAAAACACCTGGAGGGCCAAACTTTGCTCATGCCCATCCTAGAGATTGCTCGAGAGAACATGTATAATCAAATCCATGAATGCTCACATCTGCAAAAGTCAAAGGGTAATTGCATAATGGGTCTTTCTCTTCTCTCTCACCTCAATGAATAAACGATGATGCCATCTAGTGAGAGAGTGACCCATGTTGTGTCGGAGAACAACTCGGGCAACGAGGTGATTGAGTGGTTGAAGCGGAAGGGGAGCCCTTTCCTGGATGCTATCGGACATGGCATAGCGCTGCTAGATCTCAGCTGGTTCACAGAGAGCATGAGCGCGGGGCAGCCCGTGGAGATCGAACCCAGGCACCGACTGCAGGTAAGAAAGGAGCCTGTCAGGTGCTTGAAGCAGAGATGGATACACTTGGTGTAGTGTCTAAAGACCTTGACCTGCATTTAAAAACAATCCCTGCTGACAAAATTACAACCTGTCAGCTGCAATAGGCCACCCTACTCAGATCTGTACGCATTATTCACTGATGCATCACACAGTCTTAGACACTTGGAAAGTGTCTGACATGTGATCAAATACCAACTCCAGCATAGTGATCTTGTTTGATGTGTACTACTCTTGTTATGTATAAAATAATAATAATAATAATAATAATAATAATAATAATATAAAATGTTATTTATTTATTTATTTATTTATTTATTTATTTAGGGTAATTTTACCCTGCCCTTCATAACCCCCTAGGGGGGACTCAGGGCGGCTTCCAACCAGAACAAATTTGATGCATACAATTCAATACAGTAAAATACAAACAACAGTAATTATAAATAACTAGCTGCCCCCTGCCACGCGTTGCTGTGGCCCTTTCTGTTGATCTGGGAAATAAAGTAATGAGAAAGTGTTGGTTTCTAATATATGTGATTTCTTTATGCTTGTGGGTAAACAGTACGTCTTGCTGTTTCTTTGTCAGTGTTGATGTGGAAAGTGTCTGGTTTGCCCACTCTGGAACATGCGACATATAATTGTTCTTCTTTAGGGGTCCCTTTCAAATCTATGATACTATATCTCTGTGTGTGTGAATAATATCTATCTATCTATCTATCTATATATCTATCTCTATCTATCTATCTATCTATCTATCTATCTATCTATCTATCTCTATGGCTGGGTGGCTCTTTGTCGGGAGGGCTTTGATTATGTTTTCTTGCCTTGGTGAAGGGAGTTGGATTGGATGGCCTTAAGTATTTTCTGTTGGTCATGGGGGTTCTGTATGGGAAGTTTGTCCCAATTCTGTCGTTGGTGGGGTTCAGAATGCTCTTGGATTGTAGGTGAACTGTGAATCCCAGTGACTACAACTCCTAAATGTCAAGGTCTATTTTCCCCAAACTCCATCTGTGTTGGTATTTGGGTGTGTTGAGTATTCGTGCCAAGTTTGGTCCAGATCGATCATTGTTTGAGTCCACAGTGCTCTCTGGATGTAGGGGAACTACAACTCCCAAACTCAAGGTCAATGCCCACCAAACCCTTCCAGTATTTTCTGTTGGTCATGGGAGTTCTGTGTGCCAAGTTTGATTCAATTCCATCGTTGATGGAGTTCAGAATGCTCTTTGATTGTAGGTAAACTATAAATCCCAGCAACTACAATTCCCAAATGACAAAATCATAATTTTTTGAGTGATGGTCACTGCTTGTGTTGAGAGACGTTTTATTGCCAAATTTGGTGTGATTTCGTTCATTGGGGTTTTTTTTGTTTTTAAGGAACTCATTATGCACAGAGCATTTATATATATATAGATATATGTAGGGTTTTTAGAACAATTTTTGTCTGATTCTTGAGCGTAAGACACAGAGCAGCCTATAGCTCTTGAAAAACTGTTCCCCTTTCTGTCTTTCTCAGGTGGCTGCCCATGCAAAGGAGCTCGAGGGCCAATGCCAGGTGGCGACCTATGCCTGCCAGCGCCGGACTCCACTGGAGCACAACCATCAAATGCTTACAGTAATTTGTCTAACCTCTGATTCAGTGGGTGAAGTAGGTTGAGGTTGGCAATGGAGTAAAGGGAGGCAAAGAACCAGACGACCAGAGGCTTGGCAATGCTGGCTGGAGGATGCTTTTTGTTGTGGAATGCACCTGTATCTCCCACAGTCTTTCAGCCATCATGGCTCATTATCATCTTGCCTGCGTGATTCTGGAGGTCATAAAACGTAAACTTTCCATGTGTTCCTAAAGATTGCTGGTGGGTGTACCCAGATGTGATATTTCTGATGTTCAAACGTTAAGTGGGCATGGTTGTTGTACGAGCGTTCAACCCTAGGTTGATCAAAACGTCCTTTGAGGATTTATATTTATCTCTTTCCTTCTCTCAGGAAGCTCTGGAAACCCTTGCAGAAGAAGCGCACTTCTGCGGCAGCGAAGGGCGCTGTCTGGCCTTTTCCAGGGCTGCCTCTGTGCTCAAGTCTTTACCTTGGACTGTCAGAAAAATTCAGGATTTGAATTCTCTTCCCTGCATCGGAGAGCATTCAAGGAGAGTCATCCAGGTAACAGAAGGATGGGCAACTAGGGATCATATCCACTGCAACTTCTCCCAACCTCCACATTGGCAACCAATTTTAAATAGATCTATTGCCCTTTGCCCATCCCAGAGTAATTCACCCCCTGAGTCATGCATGGGCAAACTTTGGCCCTCCAGGTGTTTGGACTTCAAGTCCCACAATTCCTCACAGCCTTCCGACCCATACCCATGCCTGTACTATCACGTGCTTTTTTGGGGTATGTGACTTCCCAAGGCCAACCAGTGGGTTTCCATTTGGGAGATATATACCGCTTTGAGTCGCCTGAGGGCTGAGAAAAGCGGTATATAAATAAAATAAGTAAGTAAATAAATAAATACACGCAAACACACACATACGAGGGTGGGTCAAAAAGTTTTGCTTCCTGTGTCATAAAAATGTTATGAATGTCCATATAACAGCAGAAGTTGCTACAGATCATAGCCTGAACTGTCCTCTGTTGGGCAAGTGGACTTATTAACAAAAGACCCTCTCCATAAATGGATAGCAGAATAACATATTATCAGCAGCATGGCCCAGCACCAGTAGCCAAAAGTGATAAAAAGAACAAAAACACAGGGAGCAATGTTATCTCTTCCATAGGAGGCTTTTCTTTGTAGTAAAATAATATGGTTGCATTATTTACAAGAATAAGCTTTCCATAACACGAGTAAAGTTCTTTATACTTCCTTCTTTGCTTCAACACTGGGCTTTTTTCTCATGCAGATAACTTACTTACTTAGGCGATCCCACGTTGTCTGAGTAAGTTTGTCCTCCAAGTTCGGTGTCCTGGCAGTGAGTACGTAGGTGACTGTGGTCCTGTTCTTGACCTGCATGTTCTCCCGCAGTGAGGGTATTGGTTTCCAGGTGGAAGGCGGTCTCGGTCCGGGTTGGCTTGACATGCCTTCCTCTTGGCACGTTTCTCTCTTTCGCCCTTCATTCATGCCTGTTTGAATTCTACACCACTGCTGGTCACAGCTGACCTTCAGTTAGAGCGCTCAAGGGCTAGGGCTTCCCAGTTATCGGTGTCAATGCCACAGTTTTTAAAGTTGGCTTTGAGCCCATCTTTCAATTTCTTTTCCTGTCCTTCAACATTTATTTTTCCATTCTTGAGTTCGGAGTACAGCAACTGCTTTGGAAGACGGTGGTCGGGCATTCAGACAACGTGCCTGGTCCAGTGGAGTTGATGGCGAAGGACCATTGTTTCAATTCAATGATGACTCTTTCTTTTAGCTTCAGATTCACAATTTTGATCAGTCAATCAGAAAATGAAATCACTATATCAGTAAAGTTACCTCTATCATATCATACAGAGATAGTCCAGTAGCTGTGGGGGGAAAAATAAGAGTGATGGCGGCATTACTTTTTGTCCACCCTCCTATATTTATTACAAGAGCTGTTTGACTGTTGCTTCAGGGGGAGACTCCATCTTTGGAGATAAACAGAGATTAGTTCGGGTTTTTTCGGGGGGGCTTTAGCTGTGTATCAGACACTAATGGCAATAGATGAGTTAGCACTATCAGGATGTTTTTTGGGCTGTAGAATCATAGAGTTGGAAGAGACCTCATGGGCCATCCAGTCCAACCCCCTGCCTAGAAGCAGGAATATTGCATTCAAAGCAACCCTGACAGATGACCATCCAGCCTCTGCTTAAAAGCTTCCAAAGAATGAGCCTCCACCACACTCTGGGGCAGAGAGTTCCACGGCCTATGTCAATTGTTTTTTTCTGTCTCGAGCAGGAGGTCTTGGAAGATGGTGAGTCTGCAGAGGTGGAGAGGATCAGACGATCTGAGAGATATCAAACTATGAAGGTGCGGATGGCAAAGCTTGTTGGGCGAGTGGGCTTATTAACAAAAGACCAGCTTTTCTGTTCAGGAGCTAATGCCCAGGAAGACATCAGCCTCATTAACTGAGTTATACCTATAGAGGAAGCGTCAAGGGAATGCTCCTAGGATTGCTTTAGTGTTCAGCCCAGTCTCTGGAAGGGATGCCCTGTGAGCTCAGGCAGATAATGATGGTGTCATAATGACTGGCTTTTGCCCCACAGCTTTTCACAAAGATCTTTGGCGTTGGAGTGAAGACTGCCAGCCGGTGGTATCAGGAAGGGCTGAGGACGCTGGCTGACCTGCAGGCACATCACACGAAGCTCAGCAAGGAGCAGCAGGCTGGTCAGTGATTATCTGCAAGGGAGAGCAATGAGGGGCGGGTTCAAATGCTGAGTAGATGAGAAAATAGCCCTTATCAGAAGCTCTTGAATGTGACTAAAGCAGGCATAGGCAAAAGGAAGGACTTGGCCTCTAGAACCTGACCACTCTTACACAAAAAAGGAATGGCATGAAAAGGGGGGGGGCAGGTTGTAGGGGAGAGGAAAAGCAGGATCTTAGTGAGGTAGGGTTGCTGTAATGACCTGGTTTAAACATGGCTGTAATGCTGTAATGCAGCTGGACATTGTTAGTCTTCTTAGCGCGACCACCTAAAATAGAAACAGCTCAAAGAGAGGAGGGGCCAGCCTTGCTGATCTGTTGGCTGAGCCAAGAGGGCAGTCCTGCCTCCCAGCTTTCTCTCTTCTGCAGCCAGACGGTTACTGGTAGACCACTGGTGCAAAGCATAGGATGGAGGCAGGGGCGGCTCAACCCATTACGCAAAGTAAGCATTTGCAGTATACTTGATTTTGCCCAGGGGTGCTCTTGAGGTGCTCTTGGAGGAAAGTAGACCTTGACATATGCAAGTTGTTACTGGGATGTATAGTTCACCTACAATCAAAGAGCATTCTGAACTCCACCAATGATGGAATTGAACCAAATATGGCACACAGAACTCCCACGACGAACAGAAAATATATATCAGTGATTGGTTGGGGGGGCGCGCAAAAAGTTGGGGTGGCGCCAAAATACTGTTTGCTTACAGTTGAAAATTACCTAGGGCCGCCTCTGGATGGAGGAGCCAAGTCTGATAGAGTCAGAACCTATGGTGGTCCTGCTTTTTTTTCCCTTGTCCTGGTAGAATGCAGGCTAACAGGGCATGGAGAGGAGAGAATGGGACAGGTAATGGGGTTCCAAGACTGTTTCATCTCCTCCAAACCCCTTGCACTGCCCCTTTTGTCTGGTCAAACATCAAGCTTCCAGGAGAGTCAATTAACCTATCCAAATGAGAAGATGTGTTTGAAGCATTCCATTCTTAGAACAAACAAAAGACATGGCAAACAAAACAGGAAGTGGTCAGAAGTCCACTCCTGCTGTTAAAAAATGTGGACAATGGAAATCTCCAGAATGTTTTGGAAATTTGATGATCTTTAGAAAGGGATGACCTTGTTAGAAGTCACAACCTTTTGAAAATGATGCCATTTTCAAAACAGCATGATCTGTTAGAGTTATAACCTTTTGGGAAAATGGCATTCAACGGCATTCATATCTATCTATACACATAATAAAAGTGGAAAGATATATGCACGTGTGTGGCTGAAGTGTCCACTTACACAGACAAGTTCCCACTTCCACAAAGTGCTATAGATCCCACTACTCAGGAGACACCAGTGGCCCTCCCTCCAATGACATTGCAGGTTATAGTGAGTGCCAAGAACATGTCCAAGAGCCCTGCCAATGTCCTCCACAAATACCATCCTGCCCACCACCCAAGTGAAGGCTTTAATATAGGGACAATTTCATCCTATATTTTGTGTTTTTCCTCCACCACAGGCATCCCAGTGTTTCTTACTCTCCCCATTGGTGTGGAATTTGGATGACCCCACCCACTGCCTCTCCCATTACCCTTTCCTATTCTTTTCTATGGCACACAGTAAACAGAGGAATTGATCAGCAACTGAACATACCAGAGAGAGGTTTGGGGAGAATTCACCATGATTTATAGGAGTTGTAGGTCCTGGGATGTATAGTTCACCTGCAGTCTAAAAGCACTCTGAACTCCACCAATGATGGATCTGGAACTAACTTGGCACACAGAACCCTTATGACCAGCAAAAAATACTGGAGGTTTTGGGAGGGATTTAGAGGAGTTGTAGTTCCCCTACATCCAAAGTGCACTATAAACCAAAACAATGATGGATCTGGACCAAACGTGGCATTCATACGCGATATGCCCAAATTTGAATACTGGTGGGTTTTGAGGGGAATTGGCCTGGATGTTTTGGAGTTGTAAGTGCTGGGATTTCTAGTTCATCTGTAATCAATGAGCACTCTGAATTCCACCAAAAATGAAATTGGACCAAACTTGGCACACAGAGTTTCCATGACCAGCAAAAAAAATACTGGAAGTCTTTGGGGGAAATTCACCTCATTTGGAGGAGTTATAGTTCACCTATATCTAGAGAGCACTGTGAACCCAAACACCAATGGATCTGGACCAAACTTGGCACACATGTCTGATATACTGGAATTTGATGAATGGAGGATTTTGGAGGGAACTGACCTTCCTTTCTGGGTGTTGTAGTTCACCCACAACCAGAGAAACGTGACCAGACCCCCCATGACTAACTCAACCTATTGGAGGGGTTTGAGGGGACTCCATAGTGGGAGTTGTAGTTTACCCTGCAAACAGAGAGCACACTGAACTCCATCGATGATGTATGTAGAGCAAACTTGCCCAAGATAACCAACTTTAAGTACTGATAGAGTCTTTTGGGGTTAACCTAGCATGATGGAAGATGTAGTTCATCCACAACCTTATGCATTTTGTACAATTAAAAAACTGACTTTTAAAAATCACCCAGGCAACGCCGGGTACCCAAGCTAGAATATATTTATATTTAGCAGAGTTAGAAGTGTTCCTTTAGTTGCCCAAAAACATCTACTCTCACTTAAAATATATTTGCCTTTAAATCATGCTCTCAAGAGACAAAAATAAGTAGACTTCTTTAAAAGTAACATAGTTGGTTTATTCACAAACTTCGTGTATTCGATATACAGGTACTTTGCATATCAATCAAGTTAGAAGTAGAATTTGAAATAGTTTTTCTGTCTAGGTAACACAGGGCATCATTCTTGTAATCAACGGTCCAAAGTCTAAACTATATCTTTGTTTTGAGAGTCTAATAGAGTATCTGTAGTCTGTTTCAACTAACTTCTAAAATCATACATCTGTTTCTACTGAAGTCTCTAAGCTGAACTGTTTTTAAAATGGAGTTTGAGTCCTGAACAAGCCCAGTTCTTGTTCAGGACTCACTTGGTCTGGAGCCCCTCTTGCCTACCAATACATACATATATAATACTGTAAGCAAATAACTAGTGGAGACTTGAATAAGGTTGTTATTTCCAACAAAAAGTCTAGTACTTTAGAATGCCAAACAGTTCTGTGAGGGGAAAAGGGATGCAATTAAAACAAAAGCTATAAAAATATTTTATCACTAGCCGTCCTCTGCCACGCGTTGCTGTGGCCCAGTCTGGTGATCTGGAAAATAAAGTCATGAGAAAGTGTTGGCTTCTAATATAAGTAATTTCTTTATGCTTGTATTGTGAACAGTATTTCTTGTTGTTTCTTTGTCAGTGTTGATGTGGAGAGTGTCTGGTTTGCCTACTCTGGAACATGCAACATATCATTGTCCTTCTTTAGGGGTCCCTTTCAAATCTATGATACTATATCTGTGTGTGAGAGAGAATCATATCTATATATCTATATCTACGGCTGGATGGCTCTTTGTCAGGAGGGCTCTGATTACATTTTCTTGCCCTGGTGAAGAGAGTTGGACTGGGTGGCCTTAAGTATTTTCTGTTGGTCATGGGGGTTCTGTGTGAGAAATTTGCCCCAGTTTTGTCATTTGTGGGATTCAGAATGCTTTTTGATTGTAGGTGAACTATAAATCCCAGTAACTACAAATGCCAAATGCCAAGGTCTATTTTCCCCAAACTCCATCTGTGTTCATATTTGGGCATATGGAATATTTGTGCCAAGTTTGGTCCAGATCCATCATTGTTTGAGTCCACAGTGCTCTCTCAATGTAGGTGAACTACAAATCCAAAACTCAAGATCAATGCCCACCAAACCCTTCTAGTGTTTTCTGTTGGTCATGGGAGTCCTGTATGCCACATTTGGTTCAATGTCATAATTGGTGGAGTTCAGAATGCTCTTTGATTGTAGGTGAAATATAAATCCCAGCAACTACAACTCCCAAATGACAAAATCAAAAAAATTTGAGTGAAGGACATACATTGGGTTGTTAGGTGTATGCTGTCCAAATTTGGTGTCAATCGGAGAAGGGGAAAGAGGGGGGAGTGGGTGGGGAGACCTTAGTAACAGCATTGCAGGATCAAGGAACAATTGGAAGGGATTAGATCAGCAGAAAGGGAAGACAACAAAGGAAACAACCTGGAGGAAAGCATGGGATGAGCTTACTATCTTGAAGTGCAATATGGATGGAGAGGAGCATTCCATTGGCCGGGGGGCCCCCATAGAAGTTTTGACGGGGAGGGGGAGATGCGGGAAAGGGAGACCGTTAATTCGGCGACCAATTCGGCCATTAATTCGGCTCAAAAACAGTAAGGAATCAACGATTCAAATTCGGCCTAGGAGGAGGAAAAGGAATCAAAACAATTTAATAAAATGTAATTGGTCTCCTGACAAGGTAAATGGGTGTAACCAGGCCAGCGGTCCCTCCGGGTTAAAGATGGTGCTGCTGAACGCCAGATCTGTCAACGGCAAAACATCTTTCATCCAGGATCTAATCCTGGACGAACGGGCAGATCTGGCGTGCATTACGGAGACCTGGTTGGACGAAGCTGGAGGAGTTAATTTAACCCAGCTTTGCCCGCCAGGGTTCTCCGTACAGCACCAATCGAGACCTGGAGGGCGGGGAGGCGGAGTAGCAGTGGTCTATAAAAATTCAATCCCTCTGACCAGAGGCCCCATCCTACAGTCGACAAATTTTGAATGTGTCCACCTGAGGGTGGGAGACCGGGACAGAATAGGGATTCTGTTAGTGTACCGCCCACCTCGCTGCACTACAGTCTCCCTACCTGAGCTAGCGGGGGTGGTCTCGAGCCTGTCATTGGAGTCCCAACGGCTCCTTGTGCTGGGGGACTTCAATGTACATGCCGAGGCTACTCTACTAGGAGCGGCTAAGGACTTCATGTCTTCCATGGCAACCATGGGGCTGTCCCAACAAGTAACTGGCCCCACCCACAGTGCTGGACACACATTGGATTTGGTTTTCTGTCAAGGATGGGAGCAAGGTGGCGGGGTTGAGGAGTTATCCATCTCTCCGTTGCCATGGACCGACCACCATCTGGTCAGCTTTAGACTTACTGCACCTCCTAACCTCTGCAGAGGTGGGGGACCCATTAAGATGGTCCGCCCCAGGAGGCTTATGGATCCGAATGGATTCCTGACGGCTCTTGGGGATTTCCCCGCCTCAGTAGGTGATCCTGTCGATGCCCTGGTCGCTCTCTGGAATGGGGAGATGACCAGGGCAATTGACACGATCGCTCCGGAACGTCCCCTCTCAAGTAGCCGAGCTAAACCAGCTCCTTGGTTCACCGAGGAGCTGGCAGCAATGAAGCGAAAAAAGAGGAGACTAGAGCGTGTGTGGCGTTCGGACCCGAGCGAGTCAAACCGAACACGGTTTGTTGCCCTATTAAGGGCATATGCCGTGGCAATAAAGGCGGCAAAGAAATCTTTCTTTGCGGCCAATATTGCGTCCGCAAAGAACCGTCCGGCCGAGCTGTTTCGAGTTGTCAGAGGCCTGTTGAAGCCCACCACTTTGGATGGGAGCCCTGACAACTCGACAGCCCGCTGTGAAGCATTTGCTCGGTTCTTCGCGGACAAAGTCGCTTCGATCCGTTCAGGTCTGGATACCATGTTAACGGCAGTCTCTGAGGATGTGACGAGAACATCTGTCTGTCCGGTTTTGATGGATTCGTTTCAATTTGTGAAACCTGAGGATGTGGACGAGGTGCTTGGAGGAATGAGAGCAACCACATGCATCCTAGACCCCTGCCCATCCTGGCTTCTAAAGGAGGCCAGAGGGGGATTGGACGAGTGGGTGAAGGTGGTGGTTAATGCCTCCCTTCGGGAAGGCAAAATTCCAGCCAGCTTAAAGCAAGCTGTGATAAAACCGCTGTTGAAAAAACCATCACTGGACCCCACTCAATTCATCAACTATCGGCCTGTTTCCAATCTCACCTTTTTGGGCAAAGTCCTGGAACGTGTGGTGGCCTCACAACTCCAGGCATTCTTGGTAGACACTGATTATCTGGACCCGGCACAGTCTGGCTTTAGGCCGGGGCATGGTACCGAGACAGCCTTGGTCGCCTTAGTGGATGATCTGCGTCGGGAGCTCGACAGGGGGAGTGTGTCCCTGTTGGTGCTGCTGGACCTCTCAGTGGCCTTCGATACCGTCGACCACGGTATCCTTCTGGGACGCCTTGCGGGAATGGGCCTGGGAGGCACTGTTTTACAGTGGCTCAGGTCCTTCCTAGAGGATCGTACCCAGAAGGTGTTGTTGGGGGACACCTGCTCGTCCTCACAACCATTGATTTGTGGGGTCCCGCAGGGTTCAATTCTGTCCCCCATGCTGTTTAACATCTACATGAAGCCGTTGGGAGAGATCATCCGGAGTTTCGGGGTGAGGTGTTATCTGTACGCAGATGACGTCCAGCTCTGTCACTCCTTTCCACCTACTACTAAGGAGGCTGTCCAGGTCCTGAACCGGTGCTTGGCTGTGTCGGACTGGATGAGGGTGAACAAATTGAAACTCAATCCAGACAAGACAGAGGTACTCCTGGTCAGTCGCAAGGCCGAACAGGGTATAGGGTTACAGCCTGTGTTGGACGGGGTCGCACTCCCCCTGAAGACGCAGGTTCGCAGCTTGGGTGTGACTCTGGATTCCTCGCTAAGCTTGGAACCCCAAGTCTCGGCGGTTTCCAGAGGAGCATTTGCACAGCTTCGGCTTGTGCGCCAGCTGCGCCCGTATCTTGGGAAGTCGGACTTGGCCACGGTAGTCCACGCTCTTGTCACATCCCGTATAGATTACTGCAACGCGCTCTACGTGGGGTTGCCCTTGAAGACTGCCCGGAAGCTTCAGATGGTCCAGTGCTCGGCAGCCAGGTTGCTAACGGGAGCGGCTCTCAGGGAGCACACCACCCCCCTGTTGAACCAGCTCCACTGGCTGCCAATTCGCTACCGGGCACAATTTAAGGTGCTGGCTTTAGCCTATAAAGCCCTACACGGTTCCGGCCCCACTTACCTCTCCGAACGCATCTCCTCCTACGAACCGGGAAGAGCGTTAAGATCTTCCGGGGAGGCCCTGCTCTCGGTTCCGCCGGCGTCACAAGTGCGGCTGGCGGGCACGAGAGACAGGGCCTTCTCGGTGGTGGCCCCTCGGCTATGGAATGCGTTACCGGTGGACATCAGGCAGGCCCCTTCGTTGCTGGTGTTTCGGAGGAAGGTGAAGACGTGTCTCTACGAGCAGGCATTTGGATAACTATGTAGTAACAACTAACTCAATAATGATGGCATCAGACAAGGAATGGAAAAGGATCTTGAGATCGGAATCTGATTCTAAGTATGGCGTTGATGATTATGTGTTTTGTTTGTATTGTGCGTCTCATATATTGTTTAGTGTTGCTTTTACTGTAAACCGCATTGAGTCGCCGCCTCAGGCTGATATATGCGGTATACAAATAGAGTAAATAAATAAATAAATAAATAATAAATTGGCCCACTGGTTTTTGAGTTCTGTTAATCCCACAAATGAACATTACATTTTTATTTATATAGATTATTTCTCCAGTTACTTAACCATACATTTTGGCAACCAATTGGATGTCCAGTTATAATCTTGCTGGATTATGCACCCAAATCAAGGTGGAGAGGACCTGACTCCAGCTAAATTACTTTAGCATATGGACAAAATGATTCATGGTAACCTCTCCCATCACTGGCTGTACAGACGCGTTAATACAATGGGATTTTGGTATCTGTTGGAGTTTGGTCCCAGGACCCTCCATGGATACCCGAACTCCATAATGCTCAAGTCCCATTATACACAATAGTCTAGTAAAATGACATCCCTTATATAAAATGGCAAAATCATGGTTTATTTTTTGAATTTTTAAAAATATTTCGAACGGTAAGCAGAAATAACTCTCAACTTGTTCCACCTTTCATGGCAGGTCTACTTCATTATGAGGACCTCAGTACACCAGTGACGTTCTCAGAGGCGGAGACCATTGGCCAGTTGGTGCGAGAAGTGGTAGAGCAGTGCTTGCCTGGTGCCTCTGTGACTCTTACTGGTGGTTTTAGAAGGTGGGTCCTATTACTTATTTATTGTGTCAGAAGCAAATTGAGAATACAGTTATGATGCATACAAAAACCACAAACAAAGTTAAAAGCTTGGCATTGTACTAAATTTTCTTTAACCAGAAGCTGGCCATTTGGAGTGCCGCTGTAAGAAGGTCCTCCATTGTGCATGTAGCAGGGCTCAGACTGCATTGCAGTAGGTGGTCTGTGGTTTGCTCTTCTCCCCACTCGCATGTTGTGAAGTCCATTTTATTGCCCCATTTCTTAAGGTTGGCTCTGCACCTTGTGATGCCAAAGGGCAGTCTGTTCAATGCCTTCCAAGTTGCCCAGTCTTCTGTGTACCCAAGAGGGAGTCTCTCATCAGCCACTGATTAAGGTTCTGAGTTTTAACCTGCCACTTTTAGACTCTCGCTTGCTAAGGTATTCCTGCGAATATCTCTGCAGATCTTAGGAAGCTACTTCTTGATTTAAGGCATTGGCTTGCGGCTGATATCCAAACAAAGGATGGGTTGGAGATGTCACTGTCTTGGTCCTTTCATTACAGGCTATTACTTCCTGATGGATGTCAGGTGGTGCAAAACCGGCTAAACAGTGTAATTTCTCCAATGGTGTAGGGCGTAGACATCCTGTGACAATGCGGCATGTCTCATTTAGAGCCACATCCACTGTTTTAATGTGGTGAGGTGTATTCAACACTGGGCATAGGTACTCTGTCAGAAATATTAAAAATTGACTAGGTATTTTTAATTACAAAAATGTGCGTCAAACACTGAAAGAGTTAAAAACCGCTTCTCACCCTCAGGGTGAGAAAAGCGGTATACAAATACTGTAAATAATAAATAATAATAATGACTGAGCAAAACCTGTAGTTCTATATAAGTAGGTGTCTTGTAGCTTAGTAGCTGCCAGTCTGAGGTGTATCTCAGTGGGAGAAAGGTCTCAGTCTGTGAGAATTCCTCACAGGTTGATGCAGTCCTCTGTCTGTGAGAGAAGCCTCTGCGTGAGATAGACCTTAATCTATGAGAAATCAGAGTATGAGGAAGGCCCAGTGTGAGAAGCTTCTGTGAGAGAAGCCCCAGGCTGAAGCTCGTGTGTGAAGCTCCAGGGTGAAGGTTGAATTTTTTTGTGTTATGGAAACCTTGTTCTTATAAATCCTTTGTTTAATACTGAACAAAATCTGGCTACCAGTATTAAAAGACTCTAAAATCAGGATAGTAATACAGAACAACACTCAGAAAAAAGGGAGATTCCAGAACAGGAAACAATCAGGGCCAGATAACACCTCCCAACAAAAGATTCCCACCAGACAGGAAGCAGCCAGGCTTTGGAGCTGCAAAGCTATTCAGTGCTAATCAAACTGGCCAGTTGCAATATTCACACTTGCATCAAGCATACAAGAGTTCTTTCTCCCACCTTGGACATTCCACAGATATATAAACCTCACTTACCTAGTTTCCAACTGACTCCTCAACCTCTGAGGATGCCTGCCATAGACGTAGGCGAAACGTCAGAAGAATGCTTCTGGAACATGGTTATACAACCTGGAAAACTAACAGCAACACAGAGAATTAAATATTTTAAGCAGAACTTGGACTCTATATGGAAAGAGCTTAGTAAAAAGAGAAGGAAATTACATTAAACTGAATCAAACCATCTTTATGATTGAACAAATAAAATCATATTTAAAATAAAGACACTACTGTTCTCAGAGGGAGGGGGTGAGAGGGAGGGGAAAAAACAGATAAAGTAGTAGGCAATAGAAAAGCTAAGAATACAAGTCAGACCAGAATGTTAAGAGTAAAGATGTGAAAAAAGTTCTGTCTTTACCCTTTTATTCTGTAATGTGAATGTGTAATGTTATACTCTACTTACATAATCAGAGAGAGAGAGAGAGAGCCCCCAGTGGCACAACGGGTTAAGCCGCTAAGCTCCTAAACTTGCTGACCAAAAAGTTGGTGGTTTGGATCTGGAGAGCAGGGTGAGCTCCTGCTGTTAGCCCAAGCTTCTGCCAGCCTAGCAGTTCGAAAACATACAAATGTGAGTAGATCAATAGGTACCGCTTCTGTGGGAAGGTAACAGCACTCCATGCAGTCTTGCTGGGCATGTGACCTTGGAGGCATCTACGAACAATGCCAGCTCTTCAGCTTAGAAATGGAGATGAGCAACACCCCCAGAGTCAGACACGGCAAGACTTAATGACAAGAAAACCTTTCCCTTTTATGTATGTATGTATGTATGTATGTATGTATGTATGTATGTATGTTAATGGCATCACCAGGGGGCATTATTAGATTTTGTCATGGAAACCTCAGGGCCTTGGATTACCCTACTCTTCCCTTCATCAACAGGGGGAAGCAAAGTGGTCATGATGTGGACTTGCTCCTCACGCACCCCATGGACGGCCAAGAGGTTGGACTGTTGGGCAAAGTCATTGGCCAGATGGACAGGCAGGTAGGAAAAGATCTGGATTTGAGGTGACATGTAAGAAGGTTGGGAAGAAGAATGTTCATTTTGGAAAGGCATGACATTTTAGAGACCATAACTTTTTGGGAAAACCAGAATCTCCATATTTTTGGAAATATGTTGGTCATGTGAGTTCTGTGTGTTAAGGATGGTTCAATTCATCGTTGGTGGAGTTCAGAATGCTCTTTGATTGTAGGTGGGCATTGATCTTGAGTTTTGGAGTTGTATTTCACCTACATCGAGAGAGCTCTGTGAACTCAAACAGTGATGGATCTGGACCCAAATTTGGCACAAATACTCCATCTGCCCAAATGTGAACATTGGTGGAGTTTCGGGAAAATAGACCTTGACATTTGGGAGTTGTTGTTGCTGGGATTTATAGTTCATCTACAAACAAAAACCATTCAAAACTGCCCCAGCAATAGAATTGAGCCAAACTTCCCATAACAGAACCCCCATGTCTTGAAGGGACTCACTGGCACGATCCTTTCTCCAGCCTTGCACACTCATCCTTGCCCACACATAAGCTGCCCTGCGCTGAGCACGTCTGTCCCCCCCCCCCCCTGCTTGGTGCCTTAGAAATAGCCCTTTCCTTGGCTGAGAGGCCAGCTGTGGTGAATATTACCTGGTAGGCCGGAAAGGGAGCCTGGATAACAGTAAGGCAGGCCTCCATTTTGGGAGGGAATGCCAGGGAGGCAGCCATCATGAGTGAGGATGGTTGGAAGAGGGGAGTTTGGAGACTCCTAGGATTGGTCAGAGCAGTTTGGAGGAGCCAAGTCAGAGGAGGGAAAGAATGTAGTTTCAGTTGAGAGCTGGGAGATGGGGCGTGAAGGTGTGGAGTTTGAAACTGGGTTTTCAGGGAGAGAGCTGGGAGAGAGAGTGTCTGTGTTAGACAGTGCTGTGAGCTGACAGGAAAAAGGTCAGACAGCAGTCTGATCTCTTGTGAGAGTTAGCACAAGAGATTGGCTCTCCAGGCTGGGTTGGTTAACAGGAAGAACTCTAGGGTAGAGTCAGTTAATAACCCAGGGGCTACCTAATAGGCTAGTCAGACTCTTCACTATTCTCTGAAATAGAGCGAGGGTTTTGTTACCAACATTTAGGTCTGTTTGGTTAGCTCTGTCTAGAACAAAGTGAAGAGAACTGTTCAAGCAACCAATCAACAAAGTCTCTACTGTACATGATCATTCCATCGTCAAGCCTTTGTTATAGTTCCAGCAATTTTAACACCCTGTTGCTACAGAAAAGCCTCTCAACAAACAGTTGTTTGGGAGCCAGGAATAAGAGCAGTGTTGGCAGGAGTGGGAAAAGTTCACCTCAAATATATATATATATATATATATATATATATATATATATATATATATATATATATGAAAATCCTAACACACCTTAGGTTGGTAGCAGCTTTAATGCAAAAGAAAGTTTAAAGACAAGCAGTGTTCACTTCACCATAACACATATCCATAATAGTCTTGCTATCATATTGGAAGCACAGGGGTGGGATTTTCCTTTTCTTTTTTTTTTAGGAAAGGAAAACCTCTGGGAAGATCCATCCTGCCCGGACATACTATTAATAAGTCTCCAGCCTCTCGTCTTTTGTTATAGCAGCCAGTCACAGTGAAGGAGGATTTGCCATCTGTTTCCAAAAAAGGAAGAGAAGCACAGGCAGAGAGATCTTCAGCCTTTTGTGCCAAAGGGGTTCCTAAGACAATCAGAAATATATGTTTTCTGATGGTCTTCGGCAACCCCTCTGAAATCCCCTCGCAACCCCCCCCCCAGGGATCCCAACCCCCCAAGTTGAGAAACATTGATCAATGGGTTCCCTTAGAGGAGGCTACCGGTTACAGCTCTGCATGAGTTTCTGTTCTGAGTTTACCAAGGGGTGCTCAGATCAGAGACTTATACAAGAGCCAGGACCAGAAATCTTAACTCCTGCCTACATTATAAATGAAAAGTGTTTTTGAGTGCAAATGTGAGGTATGTTTCAGCCATTCAAAACTCTGTGACCATCTGATGTATTCTAAGCATTTCTGCCCCTGCTCTCATCCTAGGGCTTCTTGCTGTATCACAGCATCCACAGAAGCTCTTTCCAATCCTTTGAAGATGAAGCTCAGGAAATCAGAGACAGCACAACGGCCATGGATCACTTTGAACGATGCTTCTCCATTTTCCGCCTTGGCTGCTTCCCTGGAGGCATTCCTAGAAGTGCTTCTGAAGCCCAGCGACTGAACAATGCAGTACAGGTTTCTGGAACACCTGGTTCCTGGAAAGCCATAAGGGTGGACTTAGTTGTGACTCCATGCAGTCAGTTTCCCTTTGCTTTGCTTGGCTGGACTGGCTCACGGGTGAGTTTTGCTCACTCTTCTTCTCTGGGGTTGGCTTTTGGGTTTGATATGACCAAAATATTTCCATTTAAATCTTTCTAAAGAGATATAAGTTTATTATTGCTAATTCTGTTGAGCATGTGTTGTCGAAGGCTTTCATGGTCTTTCGTGTTTTGGCAATGCTGCATTTGGTGGTTTCTATGGAAACTTGTCCATGGCTGCATGGAATACGGTAGACTCCTGCAGAGGTGAGAGGATCCCTTTTCTCCTTTGCTAAACAGTTTAACCCGTTGTGCCACCACAGCCCCAAAAGACAGTTAATATCTTATAGAAACTTGGGTCTGACTTCTCCATACATGCTCGGGTTCACCGGAAACTTTCAATGATTGCTTGAGCTTGACTCTCATGTTAGATCCATCTTTTCCCAGAATTTTGAGCGAGACCTCCGCCGTTTCTCAAAGCACGAGAAGAAGATGGTCCTCAACAGCCATGCTCTCTATGACAAAGGAAAGGTATGTGGCTTCTGGGGGAGGAGGACAGGAGGGGAAAGCCTATGGTATGGAGTTGGATTCTTTTAATGATATACATAAGTGTAAGTTATGTCTTTTGTTTGTTTGCTTGTTAATGCAGAAGTTTATGAGGAACGTTGGGCTGCAGGGAAAGTAACTTGTGTTCCTAGTTTTGCTTTGGTTTTGAACATCTTTTTTCAGAGAACATTTTTGACCGCGGCCTCTGAGGAAGAGATCTTCAAGCATTTAGATTTGGAATATATTCCTCCAGAAGAGAGAAATGCCTGATGCTTGCTTCGAAAAGAAACTTCTTGGCATTCATTGTATTCACTACTTCAAACAAATGGGGAAAAATCAGACCGGTGGCTTCCTTGTACCAACATGGATTGTGTGCACCCCTTTGTGAATTTCTTGGATTCACTTCTTGCAGTCACTAAATAATTTTTTGCACTGATTCCTAAACAAGTGGGTTGAAACAGAGGTTATGGTGTGCAATCTATTCCTCAATGATGTTTGCATTGCTTACAGAAGTAAAAAACAAACAAACAAAAAAAACAAAACACCTTTTCCGCATATCTTCTCTATGTTTTCTGTCTGGATTTTTTTCTGCCTGATGGCTTCCTTTTTTGCTATGATGGCGAAGCCGCTTCAGATGCTGTTGTACATGTTGAAGTAAGCCAGGACAAAGGGGTAAGGCGGGAAGAGAATGGATTTATTTATATATTTATTTATTGTGTCAGAAGCAAGTTGAGGGTACAGTTAACCTGCATTTAAAAACACAAAGTTATTTTTAAGAACTTGGCATGATGCTAAAGTATTTTTCACACATACTGCTCTCGAGCCAGGCCTTGTCCGCCATTCTGTATCTTTGCATTTGGTTTTTTTCTGCCTAAGTGGAGTATCTTGCATTTGTCCCTGTTGAACTTCATTTTGTTAGTTTTGGACCATTTGAAGCTTCCGAACAGTCTTCAAAGGCAACCCCACATAGAGTGTGTTGCAGTAGTCTATACAGGATGTAACCAGAGCATGGACTACCATGGCCAAGTCTAGCTTCCCAAGGTACGGGCGCAGTTGGATTCCTTCCCAGGTAATCCTCAAAGCTCGGGATGCTTATCTATTCTTAAGGTGAAAAGCACACGCCTGCATTTTAGATGGATTAGGAATCAGCTGGTTTTCCCTGTAATAGGCAGTAAGAACACCTAAAGCTTCAGAGACCTTCTGTTCAACTATTTCAAAGCTCCCTGCTTGATCAGGGGACATGAGGGAAGCCTCCCCGCAGGATAGTAACACATCTGGGCAATCTCATGGCAATGTCTCTGTAGACAGCTGATTCTCTCACACCACATGCGACTTGCAGTATGCAACCAACCAAACATACAAATTGACCTTTTCAGGACCAACTATGACAATAATCTCAATCTACATTAAAGACATGTCAGTTGCCAAAGACTGGGTGTATTTATTACACTGTGAAAATAGAGTTGTTTGATAGCATTCTAACTAACTTGGTTTAATGCTTTGGTGCTTTGAATGCAGTTTTCCTGCTTCTTGGCAGGGGGTTGGACTGGATGGCCCATGAGGTCTCTTCCAACTCTGTGATTCTATGAGTCACAGAAATAGTTTTATTCTGGAATATATATTTTTGGCTTGCTGCAAACATGTTTTATCTCAGTGGCTTTGCAGCTTGCCCTTGCATTGAAATGCCCTGTGTATAACCACTATCCTGACTTCCTGTCCCTCCCGCCTGCCAAGAAGTGCTCTGTCTTGCTCAGAAAGGTGCTAAACTCTATCTGACCCTGCAAGGAAACTTTCACAGCTGGGAGGAATGGGAAGTAAAAACATTCCTGCCTCAGCCAAAGGCACTGAGACGGAAAACTCATTGCTTCCACCCCATTATGTTGAGCTAGGGTTCCCATAAATAATCTATTTGGGATTCGGGGAATGGAATATTTTCAAAGAAGCAGAGGTTTGGGTTGCGGCAGGAGCCAATATGAAATATGTACGAAGATCCTGCTGAGCGAGAGCAGAGGACACTGATTGGATCTGACTGGGCCTAGTCCTCAGCGGAGGAGGAGGAACCAGATTCGAAGCACAGACCTCGGTTCGACTCACGGAAGCCAGAGTCACACGATTGAGCGAGTCCGGAGCAGATGTCAATGCAGGCAGGTGGGCTCAGCAGAGTGTAGTGTTTGGCAAAGCAAGAGGCCTGGCAAACTGTGAAGACTCCCTCAATCCTCCACTCACCTTGCTAGGGTTCCTTACAATAGATGAAACAGCTGCCATGGACACTTGACTCTCAACTGTCTTCTTCACTTCACTTTATTTCTTAATTAGTCACTCTCCACCAAGGTGCTCCGAGCGACTTACAATTTAAAATAGCATTTACACAATATAAAAACATTCAACATAAAAACATCCAACAGTGACTATTTGGCAAATTAGATCTGATCACTTTACTTAAATGCACAACTAAACAGTCAAGTCTTGCGCGCTTTTACAAAAGGTTGCAACTCCGACATTGCTCTAACATATGGAGGCAATGAGTTCCACAGAATTGGAGCATAGATCGAAAAAGCTCTACACCGTGTAGCTTCCAGGTGTACCTCCATAGGGCCCGGTATGTATAGGAGATTTTCCTGGGTGGATCGAGGTGACCACGGATGGAGAAAAGGAATGAGGCGGTCCCTAAGATATAAAGGTCCTTGGCCATTTTGAGCTCTAAATGTCAGGATCAGTATCTTGTAAGAGATCCAATGTTCTATTGGTAGCCAATGCAGTTGTTGTAAAATCGGTGTAATATGGGATCTTATAGATGATCCCGCTAGCAGCCTAACCACCGCATTTTGGACCATCCGAATCTTCTGGGTTGTTGATTTCAGAAGGCCAGCATATAAGGAGTTGCAATAGTCCATCCTAGTGGTGACTGTTGCGTGGATTACTGTTGCCAATGCTTCTACCGAAAGGTAGGATGCCAATTTCCTTGCCTGGCGAAGATGAAAAAAGGCCTGCTTACTTAAGGCAGTGATCTGGGCCTCCATCGTCAGTGATGAGTCCAACACAACCCCAAGGCTTTTAATAGTGGCAGACGGAACCAGAACTTCTCCATCGAAATGAGGCAGAGACTGGATTCATTCTGGCGGCTGGCCGGGCCAGAGTATCTCAGTTTTTGCAGGATTGACTTTTAGTCTGCTCGCTCGCAGCCAACTCATCACTGCTTCCAAACACAGCTTAAAGTTCTAAGGAATCGTGGTTGTCCGAGGTTTGAGATGCAAGTGTAGCTGGGTATCATCTGCATACTGGTAGCACTCTATGCCAAAGCTCCGCACCAGTCCAGCAAGTGGTTGGACGTAGATGTTAAATAACAGGGGCGAGAGGATAGCACCTCTGGGGAACTCCACAGCAAAGGCAGGAGCTCTCAGAGCTCTGGCCTAACCACTCCACCCTCTGTCTGCGGTCCCGGAGAAACGAATTGAACCATTTCAGGGCTAAACCTCGTACACCAGACATAGCCAATTGATGAATCAGCAAGTCATGGTCCACGGTGTCGAATGCAGCTGTGAAGTCCAAGAGAACCAATAGCACTGATCCGCCTCGGTCTAACTGATGACGAATTTCTTCAGTAATACCTACCAAGGTAGTCTCTGTCCCATGACCTGAACAAAAGCCTGATTAAAAGGGGTCCAAACCCGCAGTCTCTACAAAATAAGAGATGTCTTATTTTGTATGCATGGGCAATCTATGGTTCTAAATGGTTCTAAAGTACTTACAAAACTAGGAGGCACTGGTGCTTTGCTTTTAAACTGTTGCTAAAGTTCTGGTGGTGAAAATTTCAGAACTCTAACAAAACTTTCAAAAATTCGTTATAAATGGCAGTTCCTAATGGGTTCTATCCTAAAAATCGCCAATAACAAAATAATAACCAAATTTTGAAAGTTTTGTTAGAATTCTGAAATTTTCACCACCAGAACTTTAGCAACACTTTAGAAGCAAAGCACTAGCATCGTCTAGTTTTGTAAATACTTTAGAACCATTTAGAACCATGGTTTGCCTGTGCCTACTATTTTTGACAAAGACAATCCAGATTGTTGAATCTGCTGACCTAAAAGTTGGCAGTTTGAAGCCATGGTTCAGGGGGAGCTCCTGCTGTTAGCCCTGACTCCTGCCAACCTAGTACCATATATTCTGGTGTATAAGACTACTTTTTAACCCAAGAAAATCTTCTCAAAAGTCAGGAGTCCTCTTATACGCAGGGTCATCTTATATGCGGGAGTAGTCTTATATATGGGAGTAGTCTTATACACTGGAGTAGTCTTATACACAGGAATAGTCTTATATGCTGGAGTAGTCTTATACACGGGAGTAGTCTTATAGAGCGGGTGCTGAAACTTCCAATCGAATTGGAGAATCTGTGGTTGCCGCATATGGTGGGGGGAGCTCAAAAATGGCAATGGCCATGTCCCTGCCATATGCAGCGACTGTATGAAAGCATTAAGGGCGACGCTGTACAAGTACGGTAGAAGAAAATCCATTCATCAGAATTTGTGGACTTAATGCGGTCCCGATGGTGAGGTGAAGGGGCACCTCACCAGGAAGGTGTAAGTGAAGGGCAGAGCAAGCTGCAGGCATCCAGGGCACCCAGGGTATGGAAAAAAGCGATAGAGTGGCTCTGGGCCCAGACAAACACACCTCTTTTACCTGTCTGACCTCCTCCTCTGCCTCTCAGATCTCGCTCCTGAAGACTGCAGTGAAGTGGTGCAGGTGCGCATGTGCGAGATCTGAGAGGCAGAGAAGGAGGTACAGTAATAGGAAAATTACCATATTGAAATCAAATCTGATGCTTTTAAAATTTTTATTGGGTGTGTTTTGGAAGAGGGGTTATTATATGGTATTATATATTATATGTTCATTCGTTCAGTCGTCTCCGACTCTTCGTGACCTCATGGACCAGCCCACGCCAGAGCTCCCTGTCGGCCGTCACCACCCCCAGCTCCCTCAAGGTCAGTCCAGTCACTTCAAGGATGCCATCCATCCATCTTGCCCTTGGTCGGCCCCTCTTCCTTTTGCCTTCCACCTTTCCCCAGCATAATTGTCTTCTCTAGGCTTTCCTGTCTCCTCATGATGTGGCCAAAGGACTTCAACTTTGTCTCTAGTCTCCTTCCCTCCAGTGAGCAGTCGGGCTTTATTTCCTGGAGGATGGACTGGTTGGATCTTCTCGCAGTCCAAGGCACTCTCAGCACTTTCCTCCAACACCACAGCTCAAAGGCATCGATCTTCCTTCGCTCAGCCTTCCCTAAGGTCCAGCTCTCACATCCGTAGGTGACTACAGGGAATACCATGGCTTTGACTAGGCGGATCTTTGTTGCCAGTCTGATGTCTCTACTCTTCACTTTTTTATCGAGACTGGACATTGAACTTCTCCCCAGAAGTAAGCGTCTTCTGATTTCCTGGCTGCAGTCTGCATCTGCAGTAATCTTTGCACCTAGAAATACAAAGTCTGTCACGGCCTCCACTTTCTCCCTCTATTTTCCAGTTGTCAATCATTCTTGTTGCCATAATCTTGGTTTTTTTGACGTTTAGCTGCAACCCGGCTTTTGCGCTTTCTTCTTTCACCTTGATTAGAAGGCTCCTCAGCTCCTCCTCGCTTTCGGCCATCAAAGTGGTGTCATCTGCATATCTGAGGTTGTTAATGTTTCTTCCAGCAATTTTCACCCCAGCTTTGCATTCATCAAGCCCCGCACATCGCATGATGTGTTCTGCATACACGTTAAAAAGGTTGGGTGAGAGTATGCAGCCTTGCCGTACGCCTTTCCCAATCTTGAACCAGTCTGTTGTTCCGTGGTCAGTTCTGACTGTTGCTACTTGGTCCTTGTACAGATTCCTCAGGAGAGAGACAAGGTGGCTTGGGATGCCCATCCCACTAAGAACTTGCCACAATTTATTATGAGCCACACAGTCAAAGGCTTTAGAATAGTCAATGAAGCAGAAGTAGATGTTTTTCTGAAACTCCCTGCCTTTCTCCA